GATGATACCTTTAATAATGGAGTCAATTATACATTAATTGACAATTACATTGACTTTAACGACACTCAATATAGTGATGTTGATGTCGGTAACTCGCTTTTACCCGGCCTAAAAGCAGCGTTTGCAAGTCATATTCTTAACTTTTACGGTGTTGTAGTGTGTAAACCTGATAACGTCCAAGCAATTTGTGGACCTGGAAGCAACCTCTGCTGTAGGTGGGCAAAAGCATTATGCGTTATACGATTTGAATGTAATGATCCGGTTGGTCCCCCTGTCAATTGCAGAATTCAAGGAGGATTCAAAAACGGTGGAAGTGGAGTTAATAACGATCTCATAAATAGACTTGCAATGTACGGAAATCTCACAGATGCATGTCAGGTAGTGAATAATAGGCAGCTGAATGGTTGGAGTCTAACCCTTGATAATTGCGACAATTATATTATGTGTTAAGATACAAAAAAAATGATCATTTATTTTTGCCCGATCATTTTTTTGGGAAATCTTACGAACTTATCAGTTTGGTAATTCCTGAATGCTAATCGTAAGATAATGATATTAAATATGTATGACTTAAAATTTCTTGAATGAATATTATATGATGTCAATAATTCTATCAAAGCATATGGTTTTTAGATTCGCAATTTGCAATCTCAAACTTATGTAAAAGATCAATTATATTTATTAATGATGATTTTCTTCATCTAAAATAAACTTTATTTAAGCTTATTAAAAATATCTTATAGTTATTGCAACATCACCCAAGTTTTTACATGTCATGTAGACTCACAAAAGGTAGGTTTCGTGAATTATCCGCAAGTAACAAATGTTTTGTAGCCTATTCAGAATCTGTATTCTTTTGAGATTTTCATTTATTACTTTGATTAAACCAAAGTCAGTATCGTTTAAATTATAAAACACTATTGATATAATTTCATCCCCGAGTTTAGATGAATGCCACAGCTTCGTATAAAAATATTATTATAAGGAACTGTATCATCAGAATCAATACAATGTCCTGCAGTTACGTAGTCTTGAGCAACATCTTTATCCAAAAACCTGCTGCACACAAAGGATCGTCAGTTTCATTAAATATACCAT